CCCGCCTGCTTTTGAACTCCCATCCACAAGAAACTATCCAAGGAGACAAACCAATTGATATATCCTACTGTACACGAACCCAAAACGACAGTCACAAACACTTTGTGTGTGGCAATAATATTGTATATTGTCGATCCTTCATCATTGTTAGAATGAATGAATGATTGAATCATGACAATGCAGCAAGCAGTAGCAGACAACAACCAGAAGGGCCTAATCTGTCACTCTGTACAGATGTAACCTTTAATTTTACAGAAAAAACTTGTATTTTTATATTGAAAATGAACAATTGACAATTGGAGTAGGTCCTAATAGGACAAGTACGATGGTCGTTATCAATGTTATTCGGCACTTCAATTCCAAACTGTTGGCCATACTAGAAACGTACAGTATTGTTGATTTCACAGGAGCTCGCATATGACTGCTTCTCGGCAAGGTACGAAGGTGGAAACCTTTCCTATTTAGAACCTACTACTGCTACCAACAGCAAAGGAGCAGGTCAATAGTAAACCTTTGGCAATGGATAACCATACTACTTACCAACCAAATGTCAGAATAATGGCAACAGCGATCGAATCAAAATTGGAGAATTTTGTGAGCTCAAACACCGATAGTCGTATTTGCAAGGTATAGTTCTCTAGGTAGGATGAATGAATGAATCGATTTTGGGGAATAACCGGCCAGGGGGAGTAGTAGCACGGTGCGTAATCAATTGATCATATCGTTAGCATGGGCTACTGTAGTACTTTCAAAAGGTAAAAGTGACAAATACTGTAGAGTACCGGTACCGGCCCGGCGGTATGTATGCACTCCCTTCAATAATTGGCGCACAGTCGTGAGCCTTCTACTTTACATCCTCATGTACAGGTTATGAGTCTTTGATCGCACCCGTTGTACCGGTAGGTGCATCACAGGTTTTTCGCTTTTTTCCCCCGTTTTTATTCGGAAAAATAAATACTGCACACGCAGAAATTTGGCACATGTGATATATATGTGCACAGGGAGTATTTGAAATTGACGTATTTTTTGTACTAAAGCCACGGCAATCCGTGATCCAACGGTATTCATTCACGGATGGTGTAAGTGACACTGGACTATTTGAAAATCAAATACTACCTCTAAAGTAACCCGGAAGCTAGCCAATCAAAACTAAGGTGTCGCTTACAAACTAAGCAAATGTGGAGGGAAAACCTTAAGCCAAAGACAATCTTTTTCTTTTCCAACAATTAAGAACACTAAAAACCAAAGAACAACTGCGGTCTAGTTAGTCCATTGTCCATGAAATGCATAACATTTTTGTCGCTCAGCAATACTCCGTCGCCGTCGCTTGAGTAACTACAAACTTATCTAGCCATCTCTGAGAAGAATCCATCAAGCAGAAGAGAAATGGCGTCGCTCCAGGTAAAGTTGATTGTGATATGTTGTGATTGTCAATCATGACCGTGACAGTGTTCGTCCCCATTGCTTGACTACTGCTTTACCCAACAATACACCGTTGTCGTCGCTTGATTATCAGTACAGACTTATCAATCCATCTCTGGGGAGAATCCATCTAGCAGAAGAGAAATGGTGTTGCTCGAGGTAACGTTGATTGTGATATGCTGCGATTGTCAATCATGACCATGACAGTGTTTGCCATTGGTTGCATTACACTGTTGTTGTTGCTTGATTTTTACAGACTCATCAAGCCATCTCTGAGAACAATCCATCCAGCAGAAGTGAAATGGCGTCGCTCAACAAGGTAAGTTTGATTGTTGGATGTTTACATCGAAATTCGGAGAATCTTGAAAGTCACTATGCGAGTTCCTGTATGTGTTTAGTATTGTTAAAATTTGGCATTCTGCATCGCACAATGCTACGACATGCTCTGTGTTGGAACACTAGTTTCACAACGAGATATAGATCATAGGCACACCAGTTGCGATATCAAACAAACCGTGCCTTTGTGGATACAATTCATCCTCATGTGGAGGAGGCCGCATGACCAGTCAATTGAATAATAGCAGTTGCAAAAGGAAACTCCAAGGGGCTTCTTATTTTGATGATGTTCTGATTCAGCATGAGCAAGAATTGCTCCATGGAGTTGCGGATGACGTTGACCTGGATGACAATACATTTGACGACCTGCTCCTTGAGCTGGAGTCGCATCTTCACCGTATGAAGAAAGGAATCGCGTACGAATTAGCGGAGAGGCAAGACCCGTCGTATGTTTCCAATTGGGAATTTCAGTTGGCTTTCTTACAATCAAGTCATTTTGAACCAAAAGCATCAGCTGCAAAACTGATTACCTTTTTCAAATACAAACAAGACCTCTTTGGTGAAGACAGCTTGGTTCGGGACATCACTGTGCAAGATTTGAACCAAGATGATTTGAGCTGCTTATTGGATGGCAACATTCAGTTCT